ACTGCACACAACATTAATACGGAACGGTAATCTAACAATTCCAATATAAACGATTGATTGTAAGTAATGACTTTATAATCGGTATATATTGTAAGTATAAATAAAAAGTCTGTCAGTTCCGTATGGACTATGAGAATGCTGCTACCTAATGAGCGCTATTTAGATCTATGTACATGAAGAAACAGATAAATTAGCACGATAAAATTGATCTTCTCCCATTCTGACACGGGTTCATAGCTCTGTCAGTAGAAAAACAGTAACAATATCTATACTATTTATCCGTATCCTTCTGTCTGTATTTGAAAACGGTGATATCTGAGTGATAGGTTTTGTTCTGCATGATGAAACATAAAATACCAGCAGTCATAGTATGAATATATCACAGTTGTGCCTGAATAGAGGTACTAAGCATGATATCTGTCACTGTGACTTTTATTATCCTCAGATGAATACAAAGAATAATTTAATGGGCTTCACATATACATATATTTTCTATGAGCACAAAAGCATTCCAACAAACAAGTGGAATTCATAACCGACGAAATATTTCCCCTAAGAGTTGATCTAAAAGTTGTGCAATACTCTCCTATAACCGCCTGTACTCGGAAGTCCATTGTATGAATTCCTTGTAGAATCAAGAAATCAGGTGATAAATACGAATCATTCAACTTGTGTTGCTATATTTCAATAAAAACATTCAAAGAATCGTGAAGCAGCAGATGTGGTGTGTACCCCTCCCATAATATCCATATCATTAAGAGAAATTCACTAGTGACATAGAAGAAGAGGAGGATACACATCTGAATATGAGAGAAAACTCATGGGCAAGAAATCTTACAACAGTATGGATTAACATTAATATAGATGAATATGTGCTCTTAAATTCCGTGCGTCATCGCTGCATGTATAGCCCCACCATTTTACAAATACATCCTATGCGAATAGGATGAGAGTAAGAGCCTAGGTAAATAGAAATAGATCAGCAAGACTGTTGTACATTTGTATATATCTCAATAGAGTAAACAGAAAAAGTCTAAACATTGACTGTTCCGTATCTTTATATTAACACGCATAAGCTATATTAGATATGGGGAGAATAATAAGAAGTCTACGAATATATCTCCTTTTCTATCTTCCCAAACGGCTAAAAACAGCCCATGAAGACAACGTAGGAGAGAGAACCGTAGGAACTTGCGAAAAGCGCATCGTTCCCACAGGAAGAAGGAGATAATAAAATAAATCGAAAGGGAATGAACATCCTCTGCAAGCCAGAAGTGGGCACTGATGCTTGTAAGCGGCTGATTAAAGTGCAAACTGTAAATCCGAAGCAAATAGCATTAACTTATTAACCGTAAGGAATAGACCTTAAAGGATCATCAAGCGACCAGGGACAAGGAGAATAGCACTCTAGCTCCCCAAGGTGCAAAATAGATAATGGATCACAGGGCCTCGGACGATAAAAGTAAGTAATGCAACCCCCGTCCGAACCCTAGGAAGTAGAGAGGAAGCAACTAAAGCAATAACGCCCCAAATTAATATCTGTAAGGACTGAACATGATGTCTAAGGCCAAGATGCTGAGGGAAATACGCTCAAGGATAATGGGACCAAGTGGAGGAGGGATATTTTGAAGCATGACCCATGACAAATAGCAAGCGAGGGCGGAGAATACTTAGGAGGTATACAAGGTAAACGAAGGCAATGCGAGAACCACTTTAAAATTCTTCAAAGATCGATACCCCCTAAACATATCCGATCAATCGTATAGAGTAGTGCTGAATCCAGAACCATGGACTCTGAACCGTCAGGCGTCAGAATACGGAAGAGGATACTAACCCTAAGGAGATAAGAAATAACAAAGGGCCCGAGGACTAAGGATAAGTAGGTAGTGAATTAAGAATAGGAATAGGGAATAAAGCTTAGGGAAAAACTAGGAGGCACATGCGTAACTCCTAAAGATTGCAAGCTGAGCCCTAAACCCTAGCGCCTAAGAGAAATCAATAACCACTGACCGATGAAGCCTAACACCGCAGAACTAAACATGAACCGTGAAACATAGACACAGTGCGATAAAGCATAGCCCATAAACCCTAGAACTTAAACCCTAATCCCCGGACCCTAAACCCTAAAAACTAGAATTACCAACAAATACGAAACCCTGGACAATAAAACCTAATCCGTACACCCTGAGCTCTAAGACGAAGACCCTGGACTCGAGAACCAGGACCCTAAACTTTGGAATCATAAGACGTGGACATTAACCCTGAACCCTCAACACCGAATCATGAGCCCTGAACCCTAAACCTAAGCTCCCAAATCTAGAGCCCTGACGCATGAACCCTAAACCTGAACCCTAAACCTGGACTCGAGAACCAGGACCCTAAACCTTGGAATCATAAGACGTGGACCCTAAACCCTGAACCCTCGACACCGAAGCATGAGCCCTGAAGCATAAACCCTAAACCCTGAACCCTAAACCTAAACTCCTGAATCTAGAGCCCTGACGCATAAACCCTAAACCCTGAACCCTAAACCTAAACTCCCGAATCTAGAGCCTGAACCCTAGAGCCTACACGCCCAATCCTAAAGCGGAAAGCATCATGCTTGAACTCTAGACCCTAAAACCAATATCTAAACAGCACGGACTACGCCACTCCATCTCCCTCAGTAGTCCCAGTTTCGACGCCTTCTGCTATACTCGCCGTCCTGTCATCTATATGAAACATGCCGAATAATTCCTGCTCCTCTGGGAAGATCTTTCCTGCTACGCTTCCTTAGAGAGAACACTCGAGAATATCCATAAAGGGTGCCCAATAATCCCAAGAGGCCGACGATACCCCCTCCCACTCCTTTGAATACCACGGAGACTAAATCCCCATGTTGCTGATCATCTCCTCCGTCTTGGACTGGGGACGATTCTCTTTCGCCTGCTTTGGCTTCTTTGTCCAGCAACTCCGAGAACTCCTTCCCTGTTCTCAAATCTTTGACTTGTGGCGCCGTCCCCCCCTGTAAGTTTACCGTTTCGCCATCTGTCACACCCCCTTCTACTGCTGGGAGAGTAATTCCCAGCTCCTTGGCTATTCTCTGGTAATTCTCCCCTGCCAGAGTACTCAATGACCCCTCCTCCGAGTCCGGACTGCTTGTTGCTAACTCCAACTTATACGGCTCCTCCCCCGGGTTCAGTGCTCTGCCGTCTTCTCCTTGAAAAACACACACAAAATTCTTATCCCCTTTGCCTGTCCCATAAACCACTTCGCTCAATATCTCATACAAATCGACTCCACTGAAGTAATTTGACACTCCCTTCCCCTCCCCCCCCTTCATATTCATGAACCAATCCTTCATCACGCATCTCGTAAACTCCTCCCCTCCCCACTCTTTTAAACTTCTATATAGCTTGTTGCACGGAGATTGCTCTTTTATTCTATCCCTATGTCTAGTATCTGTACTTGTAATTCCAAACGATAAGAGCATCTGCATTACTAACTCCCGGCAAATACTCAAACTACGATCCTCAGAGGCTCTTCCCTCATAGAGTATCTTCTTCCCCTTCTGATTCCAAAGGGAAGGATGCCTCTCCCCTTGACAATTGTCTGATACTCTAATCTTTGCTCCGTCAACTGCTATTTGGTCCATTTGACACCCCTGAGTTATGAGTCCTTCCCTCAGATCGTCGGGAATCCTCAAGCTATTCCACCATGCTTCCATTTTCATACAAATAATCAACGTGTACCTCCAGAGCCATTCAGACCCCTCGCTATTTGGAAAGTTCTTTCTTATTCCTTCCCACTGTTGGATCCTTCCTGTGGTACCGCTGCTCAATTGTCTGATCCTTTCCCCTTCAGGAGGGCGGTCTGGCCCTGAAGCGGGAGGTTCTTTCCCCTTGCCTATCTCAGTTAAAGACATTATATACTTGTCGAAAGAAGCTCTGAGTTTTGCCTGAGTGTTGTCCATTCTTGGTTTGGGATGAACCAAAATTAAGAAACAATATATTCCTGGATCGATGGATTCAGTCAGTTTCTTTCTCTCTCCTGATTTCTGACTTATGAAAACTTGTCTGATTCTATACTCTACTCGACCTCAGAAGATGAAGGAAGGATCCCTGGGAAAGAGAAGTTAATTCTTAAGATCACTTTGGGGGGATAAATCCAATTCATTACGACTCCCTTATACGCAACTCGAGTTGGGTGAAGGAGACGGAGAAAGTAGAGAAAGTGGCACTAATTGCTCATCTGTTTCTACTTTATTCATGGGCCAAGGAGTCCAGTGAGCTCTATTCATTGCTGTAGTTAAAGAGCGAGCTAAGAGTTGATGATTGCTCAGATAAAGGAATCTATTTGGTACTTAAAGGGTTGCTTGAGCTTCTAGGACCCTGGTATCTAGGCCCCTTCATTACTTCGAGATGTACTTGCCATTATAGCAATTATAACTTTGCCCTCCGATTTATCTGACTTGGCTGTTTAGCTGCTATAGATCTAAATCCCTTTAAGCTTTCTTCTCCCGCTTCAGTTGGAATGGATTCAGGAACTTCTGTGTGTCCCCCTTGAGGGATCCGTACTGTGATCATTCTTCGGGGGAAGGCACCTTCTCATTTACTCATTAGATGTTATCCGGAAGGGCAGTTGTTTCACATCTGCAAGCTACCTGAACTCATATCAGACGCCTGCACCTTAGATTGGTTAAAGAGGGGGTTTCCCTCATATCCGGCTAGTTAATTTTAGGGAGGAGAGAGACTAGGTGACTTGTACTTGATGCAGGTCAATAACTCCACATTCCTGTGAGATACCGGACTATTAATATTCTGTCGAGCTCTTGAGACTTCTTACGGATTCTCTTGTGCTGTCAAGCTGGGTCTCTTTTGTTCAAGGTTTTGAGCTCAGCCCTCCTTTGATGTTTGTCCTCCATACTGAGTAGATCTTGATATTATGAAACGATTTTTTAGAAAGTTAATTTTCCTGTCCTCCTCCTGGAACCTTGGACAAATTCTTCCCAGATTATTCTTCGTAATCCCTGAGGGGCTGGGGTTACGTATGCTTACTCTTCGAGAAACCTATCAGGATCAACTCTTCCTATTTGCGCGACAAAGCATCTCTGATATTATCCTATACTTATTTAGACTTCCACTGAGATTTTTTCAGGAGGATACAGTCCTTGAACTGGGCTTTCAAATTTCCATCTGCAACCCCCTGCTTCCGTTTCTCGTTTGGTGGGATATCTAAAGAACTTGGCCTTATCCAGGTCTTAGAAGTATATTCATCATGCTTCCTCTTTTTCTGGAAGTCTCTGCCTATCGAAAGGGAGGTGATTCTTCTAAGTCGTGCCTACTCTCTCTTTATGATTATAGATTTCTCACCCTTTAGCTTCATGACTTCTTTAGCTTTGAATGGAGATTGTTTCCTTGGCCTCTATGCGTCCTGTCTCGGCTCCCGATGATTTTTCTTGGAGCTTGTCCCTTTTGGTCTCTATTGCTTCCGTCACATTAAACTCTTCTTAAGATTTCTCCTAATGAGATTTTCATCTGTTACTACTTAGAGGTAATATTCCCTTGGAGATTCTGCTCTAAGGTCCTGCCCTAAAGTTTCCCGCCCTTCTATACGTGTCCTGCTTCGATAATCATTTGCCGCGGGGGCTCTCCTGTAACTTCCTTTTATACATACTTTGAGTTGTTGGGGACGGTTTCTTCTAGCCACTTATTTGCAGATACGTGGGTTTATCTTAAAGTAATCCGTTAATTCTCCTGGAGAATAACAGAAGGAGATTAGTTTCTTCTTAACACTATTACTTGTGAGTTGTTACTCCATATTATGCGCCCTTATTGGAAGTTCAGGTGTCTGATCTTAGAGGATGAAATCTGTCATTATAATCTGTCACCTTCCTTGATATTTGGTATTTTTTTCCTTCAGTGTCTTGGGACTCTTGTAGGTCTGTCGTGTCGGAATTTTCAGCAGCTGTGACACTGTGAGCGAAGCATCTAAAGAATCAGGTGTTGGATACTTGGGATTCTGCTCCAATTGAATCATCTATAGGATTCAATCTCTAAGTTAAGGCTCGTCAGTTCTGTCTAGTCCTTATCTGAAAATGGACCTGTTCCGAACTTTAGGGATAGTTGGTGATGTTCTATCTCTTTAAGGCTTGATATTCAGATTTTTCGGCGCTGTACCTGAGGTTTCAGGTTTAACTTCAAACATCCTGCTGACTCGGGAGGAAGGTCTTTGCCAGAGTTGCAGTGTACGAATAATAGGGAAGATTATTTGGTAATCCTTTGTCCTTTTATGGTTTCAAGCTGTTTTCCTAGCTAAAGCTGACCTGCCCCTCTTAAATAAGAGAGTTCTCATGGGCTGTTGAAGAGTGTCTACTATCCTCTCTCCCTGAGTAGATGAATCTGCATCCTCGTTAAGGGATTTAGAGATCTATTTGGATCAATTCTGCAACCTCTACTTAATCTGTCTTGGTCAGGCTGGTGAATAAAATTGCTATTTCGGAGAATACGCTATCATATACCTGAGATTTCCCCTCTTAGACCTTCTGGCTTGCAAACTGGAATTTGTTCATCGTTTATAATGAGTATGGCTGTAGTATGTTCCTTCCTTATCATTTGGCTTAAATTGGATTTTCGGCCTACATGCTACCCATACAGATTTGGACTTTAATCTACTTTGGTTTTAAATTCTTCAGTCTGGTCCTTTTTGGGAGTCGGTATGTTTTATTTTGGCTAATATTACAGTTGTGAAGCGGATGTTTCAACGTCCCTTGAACTTCCGCGAGGTGCGCTCTCCTCTGGAGGGTATTCAAAAGATTGACTCACACTATTGAGGATTTTTTCAGTTTTCCTTGACCTGATAAGGCACTCTGAGTTGAAGTTATACTAATAAAGACTTCTTATTTCTCGATGAGGTTGTTGTAGATTATGTCAAATAGAGGAGGCTAGACTTCCATTCCCTGACGCTCAGGCAAATGCCCGTTGGCATTATTGACGGAATTTTTCTATCATTTGACTTCCACTCTTCCCTCTTGGATCTGTAGAATCTTTTGGATCTCCTGCCTTCTTTAAGATGAACGAAATCTTCTCCCGCCGTGGTATGACTTCCTTGTCAGTATTATTTCTTTGGGAAAGTTTTGAGCTGTTTAGGGGGATTTGTGCTGGTTTTATCGGTTTGAGTTTCTGTCACGGGTTCCTTATCTGCTTCTTTTCTTTCCAGGCTTCAATGTCTACACCTGAGGATGTGTAGGAAGAACTCTCTTGTTTTATGCAGAGAATCTTGCTTTGGACGGTGAGATTCTCTCAGAAGATGTTCTGGATTTCCTGAGTTTGTTAATGGGTGAGCTTTTCATAGGGGAATTTTCTTTAAAGGAGCTTTTTGGGTGATACCATGAGAGTCGTATTGGTTTTTATTTCCTTTTGAGATTTGCTGCTGATGGATTCATTTGTGTAGGGATATCCGTTAGGCTTGATTATAGAAAGATGGGTTGTGAGTTCATTAGTTCCCCACTGACAGGCAAGAGTTCCTGAATTCCTCTCGGAAGAGGGGGGGTGAGGTGAGCCTCATTGTTGGGATCTCAATATTAATCATTACCTGGACATAATTGCTAATCAATTCTTTCTTTCTCACTTGGATTTCCTAATAGATTGTTGAGTTTGTCTTCTTCCTTTGAATCAGTAAAGTTTTGGATTATTGGACTCTGATTCCTGAATTCGTGATTTCCTTCTCGCCTTGGATCCAGTTTGGGGAGTGCGTTTAGGTTGATCTATGGGTTCCTGATTTCGGTCATGTCTGATCTTCGGGGCTCCCTGGCGCGCCTACTCTACTCATAGTTCTTGCTGAGGCAGTTGTTTCCTACTGCTCCAGTATCTTAATGCTTGTCTTTTGGGGTGTGAGTCCTCGGCATTGTACTTGAAGAGAGAATTTGGTCTTTGTCTTCTGGTACCTGGAAGTTCCAGCTGACTTAGTCGGACGGGGGCGTCCACTATTCGTCTGGAGGTGGATTCCGCCCTAGCCCGTATTATACTCATTACACCAATTGCTATGACTTCTCTTGGCTCCTATTGCTTCTTTCTTTTGCGGTTTGGGGTGTTGAGGTGCTGTTCCTTGATATTTGGACTCTCCCCTGCTGCGTCTCCTCTTAAGGCACGATAGATGACGTATTTTGACTTGTTCGGACTAATCCTTTTATTTTTCCTTGGGGTTCCAATTGAAGCTTCCTTTGCTGTGGTCGACTTCACTTCTTGTGGGTTCCTGTTCCCTAATTTCTTTTACTTGAGTTATTCTAGATTTTGCCTTATTTCGTTACTTTTTGTATCATGGGAGCCCCTGCCCCCTTATTGATTGCGAATTAGTAAGGACTTCTTAGCTTGGTGCCCGGGGTTCTCACCTGGATTATGTTATTTAGTCTAGCTATTCTATTTAATCTGTTTGTGGGTTCCACACCTGGCGGATATTTAGCATCTTTGGAGTCTTTACTCTTCGATGCTGGTCGAGCTTCACTTATTGTCGGAACTCTCTATTCTGTGGGAGCTGCCTTCCCCCTTTTCTGAAATTTCTTCAGTAGTGTTTGGGGTTGGCTCTTTGGATTGGACATATACGAGTCTAGTTACTCGTCTGACATGCCTCATATTCAGTTGGATTGCTTGGGAGGCTCCCATAAACGGCTCTTTTGAAGCTGATTGAATTTCGGGGTGCAGCTCATATCAGTCTGGTGGCTGTTATCTTGAGCCACTGCCTTCAGTTGGACTTCAGTTATCATTTTCGTAATGAGTGCCCCCTCTTGGTAGTTTCTTCCCTTGCAATAATACATCCGTCCTTGATGTTCATTGTTATGTTCTTTTCTGTCCTCCCGGGATTTTTTTATATTGCGACTTCGCATATATGATTAACTCAGACTTGTTGTAACCTGCATCTTCCTCTATTACTACTTCTTCTTTGCCTTCCGTTCACGTCCTATTTTTTCTTATTGTTTACTGGAATGACGATGAGGTAGTTAAAGCGCTCTCTTTCTCCCTTGATATTTGTTTATTGTCTGGCGTGGCCTGTATTCTCATTTGATATGCCGAACTCCAGGTAGGAGGGGAGGTGGCCTCCAAATCCACCACTTCTAAAAGCATCCTTCTTACCTATGCCCTTCCTCTTTCGTCGGCTTACTTGGTCTTATTTCTGTTCTGTCTACCTCCTTGGCCAGTTGTAGCTGCTTAGGGCCTATTTGTTCTTGACTTCGGCCTTTACTGCTCTTGTTGACTACTTCCTGGTTGGCTGGTGTTCATCTTCCCCTTCTCTGTCTTGTTATTCGTTTTTGCCCTCTTCTTGGTAACATTAGGGGCTAGTTCTTCTTTCTTAATCCCCTCTTTATCCCAATTCTAAGTGAAATTGTCTATAACTTCCTCATCTGCTTTTTTCCCTTTCTCCGGTTTATATTGTGCATTGACGATTTTTTTAAACACATGGCGTTTACTGCTCTCAAGACTCCCTCTTCTTGATGTATTCCTTCTGAGTCCTTCATCTTTCTCGTCATTTGCTGAGTGAAGCGACTTCTATTAGCTCACTCTCCTGGGGTCCCCTCCCTTTTATTATTTCACCCTGAGGCTTCTTTCGAATTTTGCTGTGGTCGCGCACTTCTCATTTCCCCTTGGGGCTGTCCAGGTTGGCGCGCGCGGGATAGCGAGGTGGGGGGATCTACTCAGGAGAGTCTTATATCTCGTTTAGATTTTATGACACACTTTCAGAGATTTCTCCTCCTTTAATAATCTGCTCGGTGTCCTTCGGCCCCGACTCCTCGCCTTTTCCCTATCTACTTGGTGCCCTATTCTGTTATTTTCGCCATTGGTCGTGTACTCTTATATTCTTCCCTCAATCAATTTTTTCTGTATCTCTAACTCCACCAGATGTAGCAGCTCCACTGGCCTGTTCTTTAACGTTAACCCACTATCTCCTAGGATTTAGTCGTTCGTCTTTTATGATTTTCTCTATGCTGTTTCGCGTCGTGGGTTTGTCCTCCTCCTGTTTGGTTAAGTCCCCTCGATACTTCCCTATTGAAGCTGATGTTCCCACTAATACCTCCATCTTCTATGATGTGCGCCACTTCTTTTATTAATTGTTCCTTATTTTCCCCTCTTCCTTTACTCCTAGTTAATTGTCTTTATCTGTCAGCTGTTTTTGCTTCGTTCGTTTTAGTCTCGGACCTCCTGGGGTTAAGTGGATCCTTCCCCTATATTATATATGGTGCTTCTCTCCTTTTAGCGTCATTAATTATTTTAGGTGCTACAGTTGCGATTTTCGCTTTATAGAGAGATACCCTCATATTATCCTATAATAGCTAGTCTCTCTTTCCTTCCTGTTCGGCCTATCAAGGTTTCTCCTCTTAGGGGCAGGTATTC